ACAGGCTTTGCCCGACAAGCCCGCCAGTAAAGCAGAAGCCCGACAAAAAGCATCAACAGGTGTCGACCTCTTAGGGAGCTATGTGCTCGTCAGCTAGGAAGCATCCCCGACGAAAATTCCTGCCACAAACATACTCACTCTGAAATTGTTAAACCACTTTATGAGTTACCTACAAAATCAAGGAAGGGAAGGTGCGGTATTCAATCACTAACTAGATCTTCACTCATCGACTCTTGCCAAAATACTATGCAGTCCTCCAACAGATGGAAACGATTAAAATACCTATGAAGGTGGAAGAAGCCTTAAGAGATCCTGATACGCCCCGACCCTGATATTCCCCGAATACCAGGATAGACACGTGTTGGCCGACACCCGAAGGTGACGAAAGCCATTAATTGATACAAAAGCTAAGAATAAGAAATAAATAAGGGTTATGAATTTAAAAACAATGAGTTAATAATTTAGGAACGTGTTCAAAACATACAACTAAACCTAATCACTAAAACGAATTGAGATAAAATTGAATGAATAAAGAAGTGGGTCCTACATCGAGAGGATCCAAAGATGCTGCTGTGGAAGTGTCTTGACGCCAGGATTAGGTGCCTTGATTCTAAGTCCTGATTGGGGGCGCAAAACAAAGGTGAGTGGACCAAGTTTATATATATAATAATAATAAAACAGTTATCAATGTACTAACCCCCAAAGTTTAATAGTGAAAACTACTAGCATAGTAAGTGATTGATTTAATAAAAATCCTAGCATGCCAAAATATCTCAAAAAGCCATATCGCGGAAACGCATCGTGAAAATCAAAACAGTAAACGCATCATAAATTGTCTCGTATAACGCGGTGTGCTGCTAGAAAGATCACTGAATAAATATAACTCCCGGCCCAATGCCTGCACCTCAGTCTCTGTGCCCATAGCCAGAGATAACTCCCTCCCGGCCCACTGCCTGTTTTCGTGTCCCTCAGCCTTTCGCTAGGGATTATTTCTCCCGGCCTACATGCCAACACCATATCCTCGCCCCAGGCGGCATAGTGTCTACTAGGTACGCACAAATAGTTACGCCTCTCCTAAATAACCACTTCATAGTATAAAGTCATCCATCGTCTATACTATAAAGAGGGGTTTCTAAAACATGTTCTAGCATCATATCGTCATCCATCGGATAGTCTACCAGTTCATGGTTCTTTTATAGAAAAATACGATATATTAAAATATAGCTCAAACTAGGCTAACAATTTATTTCCTCACCAAAACACGAGACGAAAATCAATATATTAAATCAACAGGCTTCACATAAATCACTTCATAAATTCGTAGGCATGCTAATCATTTATGCAATTAAACTATAAAATCATGTAATTTTATAAAGGGTCCACTCACAGTACTTAGTTGCCAAAAGCTGCGACACTAGCGAAGACGGAAACGCCACTATAATTGCCCCTAAGCACATAAAGAGTCCAATAAATAAAACTATATAATAGAAATTGAATTTGGGAAAACGGACATTGGAAACGGATTTAGAACGTCGAATTACCCTAAGAAGGGTACCGGACAAAAACCCGAAAAGTTAACCCTAAAGTCAACATTGACCGGGGGTCAATGATCAAATTAGGTCTAACGGGTTTTAGGCTTGAAATTCGGAGTAGGGTTTAGGTTAAATAGGATTAGGATATATTGGGTTTTCTAAGGTTTTTGGGTTAAAAGGGTTTAGGGTGAAAATGGGTGGTTTGGGCTTTAAACCCACACACACACACACACCACAAACACACACACACACACACACCAATTAAACACACACACAGCCCATTCACACCAAAGCCGGCCCTAAGGCCTCACAAAGGGCAGGGCTTTAAGCCCTTTGACAGAAATTGGCCCAAGGCCTTTCAGTATTAAGGCCTGTGGCCTTTTGGGTCTTTAAAACAAATAACTAAAAATAAAAATCAAACGGGCTTAAGGCCCGTGCTGTTTTCTAACGGCCTGAAAGGCCTGGTTTTGCCGAAGAAGAAGGTCAAAGATTCGGCCGGAAAACCACCTAACTTTAAACGGCTATAACTTCACTACTCAATGAAATCAAGCAAGACAAAAAAGAAAGTTGTAGCCCTTGAAGAGACGAAGAGAATGATACCTCACACGACGTCTAACTCGCCGTGGTTTGGCCAGAAAATGCCTCGAAGGCCGTCGGACTCGCCAGAAACTGGGTAAGATTCAAATGAGTATAACTTCTTCAATACTCAACAAAATTGAGTGAAATAAAAAGGAAAGTTGTAGTAATCATGGAGACGAAGAGATTGATATCTTATACGCCGACCAACTCGCCGTTATTTGGCCGGAAATGGCCTCGAAAGGGGCGGTGCTCGCCGGAGCTTGTGTATGGGGCTTCCTGGTTCGACTTCCAAGATGCCAAGACTATAGTTGAGTTCGTAGCGACGAGATAAAGACGATGGTGATGTTTGTTGGTAAGAAAAACTCTCGGAGGGGTTGAGATAGAGAGAGCCGAGAGCGTGAGGGAGAGAGATACGGGAGAGAGAAGAAGAAGAAATTCTCGGGGTGGGGGACTGAGAAAGGGAAAAGAAATGGAGGTTAGATGGTTGACACGTGGCAACTGGGGTGGAAATAACAAGTATTCCAATTATTTTGGGGCACTCTCAGCAGAAAAAAAATGCTCAACTTTTCTTCACATCCGATAAGGCACTCTCAGCAGAGCCTCTCAAAATACTCAGCTTCTTTTCCCTCGGATGATACCTCTGCAAACAAGCCACACCAGAGCAAGATTATCTCATATCGTCAGGGTTAAAAGCAAGAGTATCCCATATCATGCTTTTTCCCCGTCTTTTCCTTTGTCCTTGTTCTTACCTGCAAGACAATGAGAAAGAGAGTAATCCGTCAGCACTTGGAATCAAGCTTCCAGTCAAGAACTGACTGCCTAAAACCCCTTGCCTGATTACTTACCTAGCATTGCTCTTGAGTACTCATCTTCAACATCTTATGCTTCCAGAAAAGATATCACATCTGCCTGAGAAACAGATAGGGTAAGTGAGAAGGATACAAGGAAGCATGTGGAGACAAGCGTAACAGAACACGTGCCGATACATCCACTACTTTGTCAACATCAAAAGTATCTCATATCATTAGGGTCGAACGTACTCTGGAGGAAACCAGAAAACTCTCCAGCCTAGTTCAAGAATAAGCATGTGGAAAGTTATTTCTTCAAAAGCAAAGGTATCTCATATCATCTCTTCTCCATTTGCTTCTCCTTATCCTTGTTGCTGTTTACGACATAAGGAAAAAGAGAACAATCAACCGAAAGCCGAAGTCGAACCTCTGATCCAGGTTGCTTGCTTGGAAGTTTGATTGCTTACCTTGTCTGTTACCTCTTTCGGCAAATCTCCTAGCTTGACGACTTGGGGAACTCCTACTATAGGGTTTGTATCGCACTTGACCAAGCCCGAAACTACAGGTAAGCTTCAAGTGAAATTAATACATTACCTTGTGCATCTTCATCGGTTAAAGATACCATCCTTGGATGAAGGAAAAGTACTTCCAGAAAAGATGCCACATCTACATATAAGACAGATAAGGTAAGTGAAAATGATACCACACTTCGGTACTTAGAAGTTTCGTGATTACTCAATGGTTTAGATCTTGCAAGTCCCCAACCGAGGAGCTTCTCTCACTCAGGAACTTAGGGGAGCATTGTTTGTCCCATACTTAACCAATCCCGAAACTACTGAGCACCAGTCAATGTTATACCGTCAAGGACCCAGGAGAGTTTCCCTCTAACCAGGATGCTAATTACAGCGTGACACATGTCGACATCAGAAGCCAATCATAACACGACACGTGTCAATGTCAAAATGAAACTAGAAACTATCTTCTATAAATAGAGATCATTCTCTCACAATATTTTCTAATGTCATTTGTACTAAATCATTCACTTGTACTCACTAAAAGAGAGCTTGAACCTATGTACTTGTGTAAACCCTTCACAATTAATGAGAACTCCTCTACTCCGTGGACGTAGCCAATCTGGGTGAACCACGTACATCTTGTGTTTGCTTCTCTGTCTCTATCCATTTACATACTTATCCACACTATTGACCGGAGCAATCTAGCGAATGTCACAAACTTAACACTTTCTGTTGTACCAAAGTCCTCACTGATTTTGTGTATCAACAACTTTGTTTTGAATTTTTTATCCCAAAATTACATGCAGGTATAGATGGAAATTTGTGATTTTTGTACTTTTAATGGATTTTGATGTGTTTTTGTGGAGTATATGAGGAATTGGGTTTGGGGTTTTTGTTGGTGATTTGTAGGTTTACGGAAGTGAATCCAGAGGGGAATGTGCCTGTGGTGAAGTTTGATGACAAATGGGTGGCGGATTCTGATGTCATTGTTGGGATCATTGAGGAAAAGTACCCTGAACCTTCTCTTAAAATTCCTCCTAAATTTGCTTATGTGTATGATCTCTCTCCCTCTCCCTCTCTCTCTCTCTCTCTCTCTCTTTCTCATATTGTTGTTTGGAGCCTGTTTGGAAAACTGGTTCTCTAGGAAACACTTTTGCTAGAAGTGCTTTTATTATGAACAAGTTTATATTTTTATTAAAAACAACCTGAGAAACACTTGGAAGTGCTTCCCAAAGTTCTCCATAACCCAGAAGCACGCTCAAGTTAAAAAATTTCGATTTTTTCATTTGAGCCTTTTCTGTAAGAATATTTTTTTAATACTGTGAAAGTTGTGTTTTCTATAGTGTGAAAGTTGAATATGTGGAAATTTTTTAAATAAAAAAAGTATGGTGTCTTTGCTTTGCTAGGTGATGAAATTTGTAAAATAGTTGTAGTTTTCTGAGAACGTTGCGATTTTTAGTAATATTTTCTCAATTGAAAGATTGGAAAATGATTGAAATAATGTTCTCTTCTTTTGTTTTTTTTCAAACTTCTCTCAACTTTTTTGTCTAATATTATTTATCTCTTTTTTTTGTGACTTACTGCAGAAGGTTAGGCATGGAGTGTCTACCCCAAGCTGTACCAAAAGAGGTACTGAGAAATTGAGCTTCTGTTTCTCTTTCACTTTTTATTTGGTTACTGAATATAGGGTATTCGGTGAGGTGTTTGGATATGCGACCGATGGCAATTCATGTAACATTATTTCCTTTGATATTAGTATTTGTCTGTAGTTTTGTGGAATATCATCTAATAGCTTTTATCCACAACAGGCTCTGTTTCTTGATTTCTACATTGAAAAAATATGTAATTATTTGGAGTTTTTTGTTGTTGTAATTTCTCTGATTTTGTGGGTTTTTCTATCCAGTATCTTTTTCTTTGGTTGCATGTTGATGCATGTTTTTTGTCTGACATTTTATTGCTTGGGGTAAGTGATTTGGTGAGTTCAGATTTACTAACCTTATCTAATTGCAAATGTTTTGAGTTTCTCATGCATCTTCAGCTTTGTCTTTTTCACTCTTGAGGTATCTGTCGTTGTTACCTATCTGCAGGTAAAGCTTCAATTTCCATATTAAGGTTCCATTTTTCTTCATTTTTGGAATTTGGGTTTTAATTTAAGTAATTTAATTTTATTAAATTTGGTTGTGTGGTTAATAATTTTTGTTTTTAATTTTACTAATATTTTGAGTTTTTTTTTTCTTTACAAATTTCGATTAAATTGCCTACAGTTGAATTATTTTAAAATTCCCTGTATATTTATTATTTCTTTCTAATAGTAGGTAATCAGGTTGTATATTTTTTTGAAAACTGTGATTAATTTTTACATATTCTTCTTTTCTGGTGAGAAGGTTAGGGATAAGCTCGCAGCCAAACTCAAGAGTGACCCAACCTGTTTGCTCTGTTTTTGGTGGGACTACAATTCCAGATTCGTATAGCAACATGTCTAAACTATTCAAGTTGTAAGTGCTGCTTCTGATTCTATGTCTTTTAGTAAGTGCTGCTTCTAATTCTATGTCTTTTAGTAAGTTTAAAGGTAAAAGTGTGTGATCTAAGAACTACAATCTCTATTTATTCATACATCAGATTTAAAGCTCCAACTACAGAGGTGTAAATCCAAAAGATTTGTGATTAATCATAGCAACAATAGAGGGAATCATAGTTTTTGTTGGGAAACACATTTCCAACTACTGTGCAAGGAACATCTCCCGTTTCTATCTAATATAATATCACAGTAAGTGATGGTGTTGTTTGTTTGGAATGACAATCAAGAAGTAGCTATTAATATTTAACACGATGAATCATGTCAAGATTGAATATCTTTGTGTTGTTGTTGTTTCTGAGAAACTGTAACTTACAAGGGCCTATTCCTGATTTGAGTACGATTCCAAAACTTGGTTATGCACAGGTTTAAGTTTAATTGTGTAAAAAATGGAAAGATTGATCACCGTCACTCATAGTTGCGTTTCAAGAAATAAGTTTATCTCTTGCCAATTTTGTGTACCCACTTTTTATTCATGATGGTTAGCTCGTCTGCAACCCAATTTGATGCTATAAAGTTTTGTGTTTTACAATCTTTTCATCCTTAAACCTCTTCCAATTTTGCAATTCTGTGTAAATCTTGCAGGTCAAGATGGGACACCTATCTGGGCAATGTTGGGATGTCTAGGCTTGGGTGGAGACGTAGACTTATGGAAGAGGTGAAGTAGCTTAGCTCTATCTCTTTAGCTCTTATCTGTTCTATTTAAGTTCATTGGTATTGGCTCTAAGGATTTTCGAAACTCTCTGTTTTCGAAATCTGAAGCTTAGAATCCCATTCAACCACAAGGAACAAGAATAATTGAAAAAAAAATGTTTTGGCGTCCAAAAAGAAGCATGTCCAATCCTCTAATTTTATTAATATAAAAGAAGTGATGCAAATCCAGTAAAGATGTAAATAAGAGCTATTAGTGGAAAAAATAGTTGTATAATTGCAGGCCTTGAAGAAGACTACAAAATATTTGAGAATAATGTATCTTCATAGTGTTTATGTTTGTTCATTTCGGCCTTATGGTTTTTTGGGAGAGTTGTTATATTTTATTGAAGTTTTTTTTTTATAGCTTTTGGTAAAGATTAAGTTTATGGTATTTTTTGATCTTCAGAGGCCTAGAGGCTGATGAGAGCCTATTACCAATCTGCTGCTACTCTAAACCTTTTCAGGGCGTTTGCCTCTAGAAGTGACTAAGCAGAGGGTCACGTAGCGGAACTTGGATTTCATAGATCACAGAGAGCAGGGTGATAGGTATGTTTCCTCACTTTTACCATTTTTGAACTTAGATTATTGATAAATTAAGCTCAGAGGCAGAACGTGGAAACAGTATTGCCTGGTCTTCTAAATTTTAATCTCAAAGGCTGTTGGTCATAGTTTAGAGGATTAAGTTCCAAAAATAGTTTGGAGTTTCGTTTTTACCAAGATTCATTCTTTTTCCATTGTATTTTCAATTTGTAGGCTTAAAAAAACTTAAGTACCTTGAATGTGTGGTTTAGGACTGATGGATTTTTTTGAAGCTTAAGTGAGTATAATGTCAATATACAAATCTGAGGTGAGAAATTATATACCAACTACATAATTACAAAGGGCACCAGTTTCACTTGAGGTCATACCAATGCTTTTGGGTTGTTTTTCAAGGTTTTGGAATGAAATAACTTTTTTTTTTTTACTAAAGAAACATAAGTGATGATAACAATTATATTAGACCTAACTTCTATATGGAGAGCAGGTATAACACTGACAAATTGAGATTGATTCGGTATAGACTGAAATTCTGTAAAGTTCAAATGGGTTCTTCAATTTTTTTTTAATTTTTTTTTAATTTTTTTTTTGGAGTTTTCTTGGGTAAAGTTTGGTTTTTTATGGTGAGTTCTCAACTAGGTTTTGCTTATTTTTCTGTCTCCAAATATAAGTTATTAGATGCTTTTCTTTGTTTTTCTCTAATTTTTAAATTTATTTTTTTGCTATTTAGTGTGAGAAAATGGCTTCAAAATTGGAATTTCCAATATCTGGGCAAAGGAAAACAGGAAGAGAACACCAATAATGGTGACGATGGAGAATCCTTTCTTTGCGTTGGAAATCGACAATCTATGGGCAACATTCAGCCCAGTTTATAAGAGCAGGCTTCAAAATGAAGAACAAATGACATGGGGATTTGTTTAATTTTATCAAGTTTTGTACTGAGGCACAACTCCTCCCATTTAAAATAGTTTTAAATGCTAATTAGCATGTGTGTAAATAGGATTGTGAGTATGTATATGTACTAGTAGAATTAGAAACATTGTTGTAATTACGTGTAACTAGAGTTGTAAACCCACGGCATCGCACGGGCTTTTTTGCTTGTGCATTAAACTAAAGGTCAAATTACATAACTTTTCTCAAACAACTCACATATTTGCAACATAACTACAAAAAGAAGAAATCTTAAAACAGATTCTTCATTCGCCTTCCAAAGCGCTACATAAATTTAACATATAAGACAAACCTATAGCTGCATCAGAGTTCCTCAAGTTCAGTATAGAACTGTTTTTTTTCAAGGTGAAAACGCGTATCAACGCGTTTGTTCGGCCGAGTGTTTCACAAGAACATCAATTATGCGGCCTGGACATGCACACCGGACCTCGACCCTTCAAATAAATCTGCTAATCCAGCCACAAGAGGAACAATATGAGCTCTCTTATATAGCAGTCCATGCACTAATTTCACATGCTTTCACCTTCAAATCTGAATCAGCTAGCTTCAACTCTTGACGGCTCGCACAATGCATCGCCACTTCTTCCAGGGCTGTCCAGCTCCTCATCCACTTTTTCGAGTTCTCCAAGTTCAACCTTCTTCGCTGGGACTTCAGCATCCACTGCGGTGTTAGTTACCAGCTGAACCACGGGCTCCTCTGGTACACCTGAATCAATATCGGAGCTGCAAGGTATAGCCTTGGAGGGAACTGGTATCATTTCAACAAATGGGGGCGGAAGAGAATCATCGTCATCAGAAGAGGTCGAATCTGCTAAAATTTCTTTTTCACTCACCGCACGGGGATCAACTTGAGACTTTCTAGAACCTTTCCGTGAAAGTGCATGCTTTACCGACCTTTCAGCACTTTTGTAGAGACTCTTTGCCATGTCTTTAACATTGCCCTTTCCTGGGCTATCCGAACCACTCTCTCCAGAACTTAAAGCCCCTCCTTTTGAATTTGTCTTGCCAGAAGGAGAGCTACAAAGGCCGTCTTCCACAACATATCTCACACCAATATTATTTTCATTAACTGCCCTTAGATTCACGCGTGGGGTTTCGAGTGGCTCTTTAAAGGTGCAATGAATTATCCTCCTTGGAATTCCTATGGAACACCGAACCGATCTTATGCAGACCCCTGCGAACTGATGCCATTCGCCGTTTATCTTCAGGATTTTCATCAGTGCTGCTGGTATCATTAACTTGGGATCCAATGCCACTACCATTAGGCTCCCCTTGAATTTTGGGTATTAAGTCGTCGACCCTTTCCTTTTCTGGCCTCCCAAGTTTGTGAAACTTCACTTCCTGGGTGATGGACCCATATACCAGTCTCTTTCTGGCCATCAATATCAATCGGCTCAAAATGATCTGCTACTTTTGCAGATTTCCCTGAGGATATAGATGAGAAGGAACCTTTATTACCAGTGTCACTGGCAAAGGAATTTCTTCGTTCTTTCACATCTGGCTTTTCCTGAACATCTGGAGAGTCATCTCCCTGTGTATGAAAGCGGTTCAAGTCAAACCCCTGAAGATTTTTCTGTTCCTGAAAAAAAATTTATCACGTAGATGTCGTAGAGAATTGAGAATTCTAATTTGTTTTGATTATGAAAATAGACATGAGAGACGGAGGGAAAACAGAAACTAAAACAATTAGATGATTCATTGAGATTCTCAAATTGTGAAGATACTTTTTCGAAGGAGTGGAGCACCATGCACACTTGAGCATCCTGTGGAAGCATTGCATTCTAATTTATGCAGCAACTAAAACAATCGATCTCTTGACTTTGATTTCCTAATGGACATTATCAATAGAACTAGTTAAGAAGAAAGAAAATGTTACCTTCCCATTTTCGTCAAGTATGGTTACTGCAAGATGCAGCCTCCCAGCCTTCTGAAGAGGCAACCACATGTCATGCCTCCCGCCATTCCTAAAATCGCTGATGTTAATGGAACACTCTCTGGATATAGAAGAAGTGTCAGTTAATCATGCAGATACAACAGCACCTACAGGATAATTTAATAGAAAATCAAAGCACAACAAGGTAAATGGCTTCCAAACTCATTTAATTTGTGATTGTGTTCATTTAATCTCTAAGTCGGTAATCCTTAAATCTAATAGTTACTATAGCAATATTATTTGCAAATATTTGAAGACGTAGGCATGCTACGGAACATAATATATTAAGGAAGTTCAGAAACAAACCCAAGGGCATCATCAACAAACATGTCCTTGTCATGAACTTCAATAGCTAGTACATTTGGTGAATCCCAGGTGATTATGGGGATCTTAAATTCCTCGTGCCATTTTGGAGTCAGCGTTTTCTTTTGTATCTTAGTTTTGAATTGGTAAACACCCAAATGACCCTTCACATAAGGGTCAGCGAATCCTGAAAATAAAGATCTGTATCAAATACAAAAAAAGTAACACCTTTCTTGTGTTAGTTAAAAAACCTTCTTGTACTGGAAAACAAATAACTAACCATTTAGATCAGAGGCTTTGATGTCAGATGCTTTGATAACTTCTACTCTCACATAAGCAACAGGATCCTTCTCATCCACAGAGAACCAGCTTTCTGTCATTCACATGAACACAGTAATTGAAACATTTTAGAGAGTGAATGAGTGAGAGGAACTTATATCACAAGGGGACTGAATACATGCGAATCTAGCAATAAATGCCTCCACACCACATAAAATTTGAATAACATAAGTTTTATACTTCCCAAAGGAAGATACGTTAATCGTGTGAAATACTAAAGATACATTATGCGGCCCTTACCCTGTTCCGGTGAAGTAAATTTCTCCATGTCAACGACCAGCATATTAGGCTGCAAAAAGTTATGGATAATACATTAATAACATTTCCATATCATCTTGCTGACTATGAGGCATAATAACCAACAGTCCCATTATTTGTCATTCGAACAAGCTTATTTTTTTGTCTACTAGATCACGTGGAATTTAATCAACTTGATATACTATTTGAAAGGAATGAAACATGTACGGTAGGAGAGAACTATTGCGAATAGTTCTCTAAAATCTGAAATTTGCAACAGAAACAAATGGAAATCTAGGCCAGTGGGTTTTCGGCCTAATGAAAAAGGACTCCATTGCAACGTGCAAGGAGGTGTCTAGACTCTGAACTGATGTCTTTGCATTCAACACAACCATTGGATGGCCAAGAATTATATATGGAGTGTCAAAATCCAAATAGTTTACCTGAACAAGTGTCTGCTCGAAGGCAACAGAGAGAAGCTTATCCTGGGAAACGGAATCAACAAAGGAGAGAGTCAGAGATTGGTAAACACAAAGACAGAGTGAGTGACCGATGTAAGGGGAGACTTAAGAATATATCTGCATAAAATATGATAAAAGCTTACCAGCCAGCCATCAATCCCAGGGACTTCTGTAACGTTAAGCCCATGAGTGAAAATAGGCTTGACGGTCATTTGAAAATATGGAGGCTCAACGAAGCATAACCGCACACGGCCTAGGAAAGGCCACTTGCAAAGGAACCTCACCCCAATCAGGACCTACAAAAGAAAAAGAAACTCAAAGCTTTGCCACATGCCATTTCCCCTAAAAAAAAAAGGTTTTTCGTTATGCCACCAAAGGGCAGAGGCCAATCCTCTTAACCATTCTTAGTTAACGACACTAACCAAACCAACTCAATAAGGTAACATGGAACATCTAACATAAGTCATAAGCTTTTTTAGCCTGAGATAATCCATTAGACCTAAAACTCAAAATGCTATTTCTTAAAAGAAGAAAAAAAATAAGGCATACATGTCAGAATTGAAACACAAACAACAACGCTAAAAAGAAACGTTCCAATCATATCAGTGTTTAAATGCAGATATTATACATAAAGTGGTGCAAATCAGAACTCATAAGTTGCAAAGATCAATCGCAAAGTTAATTCTCATGGAAGCACCACGTGAAACTGTACTGCATAGGCTTCTATGTCTATCTTGTTTAACATACTATCTACATCCTGAATTACAAGCTTCCTTAACTTTAAACCAACTTAAGATCCATCCTGATTCCTGAATTACAAGTTAGGCAAATCCATACCTTCCCTTCAACATGCATGCCTGTAATATGCAACTTTGCCCAGATTCCAAAACCTAGTCTTTTCCTCAGTTTCACAGCTAGAATTCCAAGCATATCATCAGCTGTCAGAAAATTCATCCCCAACTCCAGAACCTGCATTATTACAATGTATTACTTCATGTTGGCTGAATTCTAGAACGAAAGCCAAGAAGAGCACACGAAAATACTGGTCCAACATGCGGAAGAATACTAACTCATACCAAGTGGTCATCATCAGTAGATTGGCGAAGAACTCTCATCTCTGTGAACATAGGTGGGTTTCTTCCCAAGTAAAGATGCTGTACTATAGCTTTACCCTGCATATGTATAACCATATAGATAGTTAGAACTAGTTTACTGTACATACAAACAGCTGAAGTGATCACAATACACTATGGGGCAATCAAAATACTATAAAAAATCCGAGTCCTAAAAAGAGAGATCACTTTAGACTAAAGTGACCAACCCAAACTAATAGGAGCAATCAAAACTAGAGTATCGAACATGAATAAATCAGAAGATAAAGTCATACAACAGTCCACGGTTTGTACTTCTCCAAAAACCAAGGTATGATAGGGAGGAGAACTTTCTGTGAAGCAATCTGTTCCATACATATAGGCCATATCTTTTCAACTGCATGGTTCAACCACCGCACGGTCTCAGAATCAGAAAGTACCTGAAGTATCGGACAAGGCAAGGAAAAAATGACATGAGATATTGCACTGCCAAACTAAGTCAACCATAATTCAAAAACCCAAATTTAATTTTTGAATAACTAAGATAATTTCCCAACAAAAGTGCAAAGCATAGATATTCAAAAGACTTCAGTTTGACTTTATATATAAGAACCTTTCTTATGGCGGGTCGTCTTTCTTTTAATTGCTTCTCACTTGAACAATAATAAAGATCAACAAAGACTCTTTTACTCAATGTACTAATTACTGATAAAGTAATCAACCGTACAAAAGGGAAAACTAAAAATTACCCTTCTCTGATTAGCCTGTTTTCTTTCCTCAAATTGTAATTTCTTCCGCAATCTCATAACATACCGCTCATGAACCTGTCGAAAACAGAAGCAAAAGTGCTTAGTATTGAAATTGCACATCCAAATCAATACCAGTTATCAAATAACATTACATATAATTGACAGAAAGAACCAATGAAAAAAAGCCAACTTTGTGCTTGATTCTAATCCCTTGCATAAAGAGAAAGCAGTAATAAGGAAGAGCAGTGATTCCATACCAGGTAGAGATAAATGAGAGAGATGAAGTAGGCAACTGGGTGGCAGCAATTGAAGTGAGAGAGAAACCAGATCACCATTAACACAATCCCCACGTGGTGTATCACTGTAACTTCTGTTACATCCATCTCTTCTTCTTCTTCGTGTTCAAACCCAAAAGCCAAAAGCAACTTTTCTCTCTCTTCTTTTTGCAAAATTCAAACTTTACTCTCTCTCACCCCAACTAAACCCCTCCCCAAAAAACCTTTAAAAACAATCACCAATTTAGAGTCAACATATCAAAGGACAAATCCAACACTAAAACTAAAAGCTCAAGAAATAGTCTTAAAAGCATTAAAAAGAAATAAAACCCCAGAGGGGCAAACTCAAAACCAACAACAAACCAGTAATTTATTGAAATCTGAGAGCTACCCACTAAAACATTAAGAACCCCAGATTCTTTTCAAAGCAGAAATTAAAGTAAAAACAACTGATGAAATCAGAAACTTCACTTCAAAATACCCAAACGAAAATGTTAAAGCAAAGAGGAATGTTTTTGGTGGCCAGAGAAGTTGAAACGGAACCTTAGAGCTGAAGTTACCGGCGGGAAGGTAGACAGAGAAGCAATACGAATTACGACAAAGTGCGGAGGGTGGAGGGTTATATTTGAGGAAGGTTGCCATTGACTCGCAGTTGGTCACCACGTCTACGTACACGTCACCTACGCGTGTCGATAAGTCGGTTTTAACTGGATGGATGAGTATTCTTTCTGATTTTTTTGTGATGATCATAGGTAGGGAAATTTTATTTAAATTCAGGTAATCTATTTTTACACTTAACTTAAATTTTAAATGTTAATTACTTATTTTACTCTATTGTATAATTTCTATTAAGTGCAAAATGAAATTAATAATAAAACTTAAAATTATCAATAAACTCAAACACTATAATTAAACCTTAGGATCATTCTTTGTTTATCCTACATTTATTCCGGTTTAAAACCCTAATAGTTCTCATAGAGAAAAATAAGTTTTTTCATTGATGAATTGTGATTTTAAAGTTTTGAATCCTCCAATTTATCCTACATTTATCAAAATAGCAATGCACCAATATTAGTTCAGCTTTGCTAGCTAAACAACATTCAATGGCATCAAACGATCGAAGCTCCCACAAAGAGCTCTAGCTTGACTCGATTTCTTCTTCTTCATTCCTCCTTTGGTCATCTCCTCCTCTAGTCCCATAGATTTTTTCCCAAATGAAATTGAGGCATGGGTCAAGATATGTACCGTACTACTATTGTCTTTTGTTGCACCTTTATGAATAAGTATCCTAGTAATCCCAACGTAGTGCAAAGACTCAGCAATCTGCAGTGTAGTTACATCTTTGTTAGTTCGAGCTTCAGCATCAGCTCCTTTCTTTACCAACATCTCAATCACATCATCATGTATCGACTCCGCTGCACAGTGCAACGCGGTGTATCCATCCTCATCTTTAGCATCCATATCCACACCATTTTCAAGCAGCATTCGAATGACTTCCATCTCCTTTTGAAACAGACTCTATGGAGAGCAATCTACCCATGTAGGTCTCTTCCATTGATTGCCGCAGCTGACATTGAAGAAGTCACCAGTGTTTTCTCCATATTCTTGCGCAAACCCCTTGTTCAATGAGCCATAAGGTTATTTTATTAAAGCTATTCATATCTCATGTATGCATACATGATTGAAGACTGGTGACATGCATACGTGGTCTTCAAGAAATCGTCTAGGATGCATGTGGGAATAGTTTATGACAGAACATTGATGTTGAAGTTTGGTTTTTATGGCAGGTATGAGTCAGCTTACTGGAGAGGCCTTGCAAAAAGATGAATTCAAGTAGCATGGAGATACAGGGAAAAACGCTTACAGCGAGCCAACACCTCTCAATCTCAATCTCATTCTCAACCCCAATCTTGATCCCAATCTAATCATGCATTGTTATAAGCTAATTAGCATATGGGTGTAAAGATAATTTACATTTTGAATTGGGTTTGAGAAGTAGTTTAATTAATAAATTTGGGTTTAAAGAAATATAAACAAAATGGGTGAAGAGAGTAAGTTGGGTATAGAAAGAGGTTAGATGAGTTTAAATAAAATTTCCCTTGTAGGAATCTTTGTATCCTGTTCATAGTATATCGTGTTGTCATTTTTCGTTAAGTATTATTTATGTTTAATTTTAAATAAATAAATTTTAAATAATTTCTAATCGTATGATGTACGATAAATTGTTAGAATGTGAGGATCCCCACAACTTAGATCCGAATGAGATTCAAATCCTAACTGGATAGACTGTAAACTGCGCCATATTTGGAAAATAAATTCGGATCCTCGCCAAATCCTCTTTGTAAAGATCCAAGGATTTGTGAATCGTGTCCTTTCATCGTACATCATGCAGTAAAAAATCATTTTAAATTTTTTTATTTAAAATTAAATGTAAATAATACTTGACAAAAACTTATTACATAATATATGATGAACATATACGAATTACCTTATAAAAAGGATCCAGAGAGGAGTGTTGGTTGGAAAACTTAAACAACAGAGGGTGTTTTCCCCTGTCTCGCGGTACATTTTTATAGCCAATTTTTTTGGCCAAATTCGGCCCTTGTGCTTGGAGTATCATCGTCACATCACATGCAACTAGTTGGGTTGATCGCATGGTAGAGATAACAATTGTTCGATAGAACTATTTACACATTCTTTTTTATTTCTTAAACATTTTTTTGAAGTTATCAAGTTAAATTAATTGAAAAAGATTAATGATAAAAAATTAATAAGAGTGTGTATAAGGTAAAGATGAATTTCACATGATTTCCAGGAGCTTTTGCGATCATGTGCATATATTGTAAAATACAAAAATTGGCAATGTCTCTTGTTTGAGAATAATTTACATGAAATAGATTAACTTCGTCGTGTCGTTTCAGTTCAATAATACATTATGAGTAATTTTAGGTAAACTAATTTTTTAAATCAAAATTGTAAATCATATAATATGCAATAAGAAATAAGCACGTTAATTGACACTTAAGATAATTCGATCAACAATCATGTCATATGATTTACAAAATTTGATAGTATGGAATTGTGTTTACTCACTTTAAATTGAGTATTCATTTCTCTCATTTTCCTGTTAGGATTGAAAATCTTGTATTTTACATATTCATACGATTGATTCATTAAGTTTCCGAAATAATAACTGATAGATGTTTTACTAAGTTGAGTTGAACATTCGCATTCTAACAGTTGATAATTATTCTACGGAGTAAGACACTCTCCCCTCTTACTCTCCCTCTCCTCCCCTCTCTTTCTCATTAACAATTATGATTAAGTTATGTCAACATTTTATATTAACTGCTTTATATAAAGAGAGACAAAAAATAAATGAAAAACTAATGAAAAAAGCTTGAAAACTTTGAGTTTTAATGATAAGAACAAAATAAAGGGTAAAGTGAATAGTACCAATATTAATTTTTTAATGTAAAAATATAATTTTTTGTTAAAATAAAATAGGATCGAAAACTTTTCGTTAAAGTTCTTAATAAAGTGTAAGAGAAAAGGAGGAAAGGAGGAAAGCTTAGAGATTAAGAACGGAGAGAATTATAATCCTTGTTTCACTAAGTCAAACACTACACGTGACTGGATCAATTCACTCACTCCTTGTTTTACTAAGGTAAACATTACATGTGATGTGATTCTGTCAGGTTGTGGTGGACAGAGGTCCAGATTTGTCGGCAGATGGATATTGGAGAGTGGATTAAGTGGAGTGGGACACCTGCAACGCAAAAGTTTGTTACCTTTCACGTCTTATAACCATTTAAAAAATCAAGTACGTAGGACCAATCATGTCTCAACACGTGGCGCATATGTGTGATATGTTTCCACCGGCGTTAGATATTTTAATTGAATTTAACGAAAAATTTTCAGTATTGTTTATTTTTAACGAAAAATCATATTTTTACTTTAAAAAATTAATCTTGGTACTATTTATTTACAACATCTTTTTGTCATTTTCGTTAAAACTCAAAGTATTCAAACATTTTTAATTAGTTTTTCTTTTCTAATTTTTGTTTCTCTCTCTAAATCAAATTAAGGCCTACATTGAATATATAATAATCGTATGTTGTACTGAATATATTATAATTTTTATATACGTTTTAGTTACTCCATGCGCATTTCTAATTGTTTGTTAATTCCTTTCACAGTCATCTCAACCTCTATATATTGTTCAAAGCGGTTTTTTCCACAGCTTCATAATAAGCTTCATAATGTATGATTAGCTGCCAAATTTTTTATGCCGACAGATTTCTAAAAATTACGTAATAAAGTGAAGTTTAATAATAAGACCCCGTCTTTTCCGCCCCTTTATTGTTAACTTCGACTTGGCAAGGGCCAGTCCTCTTAGTCACGTATGTAATGTCCTAGACAAACAAGTTTTAATTTTGATTGGTATCTCAGCTAAATCATGTAAAGTTTCTTCCATTATTTTGGTTCTTTGGCATGGAAAGAGATCCGTTTTGGATTTTTTCCACCAAATTCTACAGATCAAGTGATTTGGATTTTTGAAATTTGATCCAACAATTAAAATTATTATAACTTTTAAAATGGATTTATGTTTTTAACTGTTGAATTAAATTTCAAAAAATCGGATCACTTGATCCGTAAGTTTTGGTGGAAAACATCTGAAGAGAATCTATTTCCATTTGGCATCCTTTCCTTGTAGTTAATTTAGCTCGAAAGAATTGAACTGCTGAAAGTGTTTTACAAAATAGTATTCCATATTTCGTTAAAAGTTTGCGCATGAGCCGACTAAGCTCATCACATCCGCTCGTTTTTAAGCTATAAAATAGTATTCCCTTTGGCATCCTCTTCAATCTGCTCCTCGATCTACAAAGTTTTAGTTTCTTTTTGTTTTGGATATTTTGGCTGCCCAACTACCCATCTCATTGAAACTCCAGCCAAGGGGCCCACAGTAACATTCAAGCCTCCTCATAATTAAGTTTATTTCCTAGAAAAAAAAACAGAAAAAGAATGGTGGTTGACATTACAAAATTTAATTGTATACTCTTTAAGTTTTTTAGTTTTAAAATGAAAAGTACTCATATGACGAGTGTATAATTAGATTTTTCGAGTGTCAATAACGGTTTGTTAATAGTAATAATTTTTAATTTATTGGCCAGTGAATTCACTTAATTTAATCATCTTTTTGCCCATTTTTGTTGAGAAATTTTAAAAAATTGATTTTCACACACTTTTTAAATTTTTTTTTACTGTAAGACTAAATAAAATCGAACAAAAACAAAACATAATGTTACACATAAGTGTGTAGAGAAAGAAGAAAAAAAAATGGTGTGTTTATCACTTCCTAATTTTAGTCTCTTTTCAAGTACAAGAACAAGTAAACACCAACAAATGGGACTCATTATTAGGTTATAAACTTGGGAGACAAAAATATATAGATAAGTTTAGACCCTATAAAGTTTATACCCATTATTTGGTGGTAAATGCCTCAATTCAGCCGGAAAAGCTCTTAAGTTCAAGTTACATTGTTCAACTCTAATAAAATATTAAACCAATATATATTTGTAGTAAGTTTGATTTTAGTAGCGACTAGCTCATTATGGAGACGTAACTCTATCGTTGAGTATTCGATTGAAAAAAACAGT